AAGGGGAACCGCGAGGAGGTCGACCTGGTTGGGTATATTGCTAGCAATGGGATTCTTAGTCTCCATTACTAACAACCTCTTCCCTTATGTACCTATGTTATACATATGTAATTAAAAGAAAGAAATTTAGAAAAGAAATACCGTGTAGGGCAGCCCAAAATGTGCAGTAGAAGGATGGGACACTTTTCAATTTGGTACACTATAATATATAAAACTATACGTATAAACAATGGAAGTATGTGCTGCGCAATGAGCATGATTGATAACTACCCATTATTTCCTCAATGTAGTCTTTTCTTGTTATTGTTTGTGTTTATAATAAGTTTACTAATGCAATCTTTTGGAGGAAACAATATAGAGTATCTATCTATTTATTTTCTTCGGCAATTAGTTCAGTAGTGGGATAATTTTTTCTTTGTTAAAAATTCATCGTAAAATTTAGTAACCAAAGCAACCGGAACGATATTACTATATACTAATGTACAAAGTGTTATGAAAAGGGTGTAATAAACTGAAATTAAGCACGGTTTATACTACACGACGTATCTTCCGACGCGAGATCCGGTCGTAAATCGTCTCTAACAATCAAACTACAGGGTGCCCTCTATTTTGCACCCTCCCGAGAGCCTTCTATATTAACTCGGTGTGTACAGCTGTCAAGATAGTATGGGAGGCTACTTAATTTTTTAAACGCATTCTATTTTTGAAAACTATTCAGTTTCATAGAATGCTAATTATTTTTATTTTAGCGTCTAATATTTACGAGTGAGTATGATTAATATAATTAAAAACGTTTTTAATAACTTTACATTCAATTGTAATATATATATATATATATATATATATTTATATATATATATATAATATTTAAAAATTTTATACATAACAAAAAAATGAATGATATGAACTGAAAACAGAGTATTTATTATTTATACAAAAGGTGGTAATCTCTTAAAAGCCTTTATTAGATTATCTATGTTAATCTATATGTCACATATCAGTTACATACTTCATAAATGGTTAGATACAATCAATTTGCCGTATCTATCTTATCGTTTGTAAGTGGTGGGATTTTACCAATATCTATTTGTATCATAGAGTAAAAGATAGCTCTTATTTGTATGACTAAGTACTGTTTATCTTGCTAAAAAAATAGGTTACATAGACTATTAAATTATTCATAGATAAGTCATACTGTTTTAATTTTTTTTAAGTTCGAAGAATTGCCTTTGAATATCAAACTTAGAGAAGTTTTATAATAAGAAAAATATATGAATAAAAAACTATCAAAGCATATTAAGATAAAACATCCACCAAATTTTACCTAACATGCAAAACATTTCCTTTTTTCGGAAGTCGGTTGAAAAGTTTCTTTAGCCACGAAGTTGATTCACGTAGGCTGTCGCATCTCTCTAAATAATGTTCCGTGTCCGTTGATAAACGACATAACATTTATCTAACGTATTTCCCGACTGTACCAATGGGTACGATCAACGTGTCCCCTATATTTTTCCTGTCTAAATTATGTGGATATTTCCCTTTGGGCTAACAATTTTCCATTCTGTTTACTTGCGAGAATTATTGAATAAAATTAATATTCTTTACTATAAGAATACATAATTGTATTGGAACGTAATAGTTTATTGATGTTACTACTTAATTAAGTAAATAAATAAGTTAATAAAAAATAAGAACATGTAGATAACACGATTAACTATCGAAATAAACAGGAAATCAGATAAGTACGTGCGGTATTCTATTTAACGGGATCTTTTAAATGTCAGACCCGGTTGACTTAAAAAAGTTACGGATTCGATTTTTTTACTAGGAAAATTTGTAAAATTTTTAATAATCGTTTGCTTAATTAACATAGTTTAATTCACTAAATTTCATACTTCGGGGGGTATGTAAAACTGTGGTCCAGTAAGCCAGGAAAACCGTCTAGACACTCTTGTTATCAAAGGACGATCCTTTCACATGAGTAATGATGTTTTTTGGCAACTTTACACGGTACAGCTTTCTCTACTTTTAGACACGGTTGAAACCGCGAGTAAAGAGTAGTATAAATATATATATCTAAAATATAAATATATAAGTGTGTCACGTTTCGGTCTCAACAAAGCTTTTAACTTATCAACGTATCGAGTGTAAATCGAATTGATATCGTATCATGATAGAATGCCAATGAACAATGGAACAAAATATTCTATTCTGAACTACTTTATAAGATTATGTCAGTAGTATATAAGAGGTATAAGCCGTATGGTCCCGGAATAGAATGGGCTACCCCTTCATTTCCCGTGGGTGTCGAAAGAGGCGAGTAAGGGAATTTAATAGCTGAGGGATGGCAACAGTGTCCCTTTTAAAACGATAAAAGGATCCATGAAAATTCGACATTCATCAATCCTTCCATACGAGGAAGCGAAAGAGGCCTTTACGAATCGAAACATTTGACGTTCCATTATTTTTGCCTACCCCAATAGTAAACAGACGTGACAGACATAGTATTACATATTATTCTAGATATTGTAATTATTTAAATACTTTCATATTATAATAGCGTTACATAGAAAATATTTTGTATTTTGTGATATATAATTCCGTATAAATTTGTAATATAAGTTTAAAACTGTAGTTGAACTCACTCTTAAAGCTTTTAGGCTTGCTTAGTTAATTATAGTACCCTAATCCAGAGTTTAACTACAGAAATCCCAGTATGTGACGTATTTGCTCTGATATTTGCATTACCTTCTCTATTTATAAGATCCCTTAATTCCTACTAAGAAAGGTTCTCATTATCTTAATACTACTTCTTAAAGTACTTGTAATGAGGTCAATGTTTGTAGCTTGTTCTCGCTAGGTACAGTTACTTTTTCCTTTATATACGCACTAGTTTTTACCCGTGGCTTTGTCCACGTGACCGAGATAAAAAGTAGTATATCCTTGTACATCCCATATAGAACGTGTATACTAAATTTCATGACGATTAGTTAAGCCGTTAAAGCACTATAAAGTAACAATTAAACAAACTCACTTTCACATTTACGAATAAAACTAGTAAAGATTTTAATTATTATTTTATTATTATAATTATTAACTTGTATTAATTCACAATGAGTAAATCTTGTCACATATTTATAATGGCACATTTTAAAAAAATAATTAAATTAATCAATATATAATTAATATGTGTATTTATTTTTACGTTTATTTATTTAAACTTTAATGCACAGTAAAATTCTATGTACATTTGTCGGATTTAACACCGGACGGTGTTCTCTACCAGTCAACCATTGGGCGAACCGAGAAATAAGTAGGCGGTGCATTATTGAATAGAGGAAAAATAAAGCAATACTTAACATATTAATATATTATAAACGTATAATTAGACTAATATATACATACAGATAATATATTAAATAAGAAAATATATACATATAATAAATATGTACGAAATTAAATACATAAAATGTTACAATATCAAACTAATTGTTTGTAATTGTAATAGAAGAGCAAATAACAATCTATGACTCAAACAGATTACCTGGCAAGATTAAATATATGAATATGTTTATACAATAAATGTTACGCTTTACATACCAACACTATAGATGCTTTCTCCTTTTGGGTTCTCAAGGTTGACTGAAAGAGATCCTTTCAAGTCCAAGCCGCCTATGTACTTAGTCATTTTCTTTATAACCTGATACTTAAAGCTTATACAAATAAAGAAACACAATATTTTATGATATTTTATAATTAAATAGTCCATTAGATAACATTATACGTTATAAATATTATAAAAGAAATATTATGTGAAATATTGATATTATATCCGAGCATCTAGTTTCAGTTATATAAAGAGTGTATTGTGATTTCCATTTGAGTCCATCATTTACTATTGTTTGCTCCATAATAGGGTGTCACTTTACTGGCAACATTGTGAGTAAACAAAATATATATAGGTATTTATGGTATACGGTATAATATACGCCTGCTAAGTGCGAATGACGTTCGAATATTTACAAAAGCAAGAGATTTGCAATTAGTTTGTATTCTTTCTTTTACACAGTTACACTAATAACAGACTAGAATAATAAAATCTAATCAAATCATATTTATTTGCTTGCCACACGGTAAAATAAGATGATACACAAAGCTTAATAATAAATAATGTAGATACATATCATGCAGCACCCATTAGGGATATATTAAATAAAATATTGGCTTACATTTAATAACACAATATTTACCACATGTTAAATTTTATAATGACTGTGCCGTCAAAAGGTAACAAACAAACTTAATTTCTTATTAATATTAGTAAAGATTTTAATTATTATTTTTAATCAGAAAGAAACTTTCGTGTGTCCCTTTTTAATTTGATCATTATTAATGTCAGTTTTAAGGTTCCGTAATAAAAGGCATTTTTTAATGAGTGAAAATGGAATGGTTACTACGTCTGCGTTATCAGTTTGGCTAGAGGGGTACCAGTAATGGATTACAGATAAGAATGAAGCAGGTCAGTCGGCCTATCATGATGAATTCATCTAAAATTAATTTCCAGGGGAGCCGCGTAGAGGTCGTCTTGTTAAGATATATTGCTAGTAATAGACCTGTTAGTATCACATTGTTAACAATCCCTCTCCCCTCTACTAAAAAGGTACAGAGGAACCCTTACAGTGTATATTTGTTTGTCGCAGTACTATGTTTCAGCTTATAGTTCTGATAATAAAATTAATAGTAGATTTAGTAAGAATGGTAGACTTTGAGACTATACTAATGAATACAAACTGTACTGTAGTAATAATATGGTTCTGATTTATGAGTGAAGTTACAATCAAAACATCATTAAACCTACTATCAACGTATTAATAAATATTTACAATACAATACTTCTAATATTGGTTCATTATGTTATAATACTTGATGAGTCTATTCGTTTGTTGACCACGTAAGAACATTAACATTGTACGTCAAATGAGGCGTTGTTTATCACTCACCTTAACTGGAGACGATGCTAACCAAAGCTGGATTAGGTCTGATGTCATAGATGTGCTCCGTGCTTCGTGACGTGGTCTCGGGGACAATGGACCCGAAGACGTTAAATTATGTAACCTATTCACTTCATCAGAAGACGCACATTCTCTTATATACCTTTCTAATACTTTAGGTTTATTTTCTAAAATTTTTTTCAATTCGAGCAACTCTTCATCTGTACAGTCATCGGGCGATGACCTGTCTATAACTTCCTTATATTCATCTGAACATTGCATAATTAATTCATTAGTTGCTAATACGTCCAGTACAACCTTATTTCCTAAATCTTCTGTACAATCCCCATCGGTAAGTTTAAGGTAAACCTCGTTATCACATTCCCTGGCACTTCCTAATTCTGTCTCACAACCATTTTGTTCTGTGATCTCAACGATCGTAATTGGTGGGTTTTCTTTCAACATATTGTTATTTTCGTTAATTCCCGGATTCCTTATCTCATCTGGTAATTCGTACACTAATCGCATTAGTTCTTGTGATCTTCTTTGCTTTTCTTCTTCGATCTTTTTTCTGTTCTCTTGTATATCATCTGTGAAATTAGTGCCGTCATCTGGTTTTTTCGCATCAGCTTTTTTGGCGACGACATCTATGGGCTCTTCGGAGGTCATGGCAAGCTCAATAGATCTCGGTGGATTTGTAGAGAGTCGGTTGAGCGTCGCACCACATTTCTTGTTTTGCTTACTTCAAAGTGATACCTGTAGACAAACGTTAAGTTTAATATTTTTTACACTTACACAGGTTAAAGTTACTAGTGAAAAGAAAGAATTAAGGTCTTTTGCATAGATTTAAAAGTGAGGAAGTGATATTAACTGCTAGTATCTTGTGATTAGTAACTGCCTCGATGTGGTGAATAATTAATAATATTAGTAAGATTTTTAAAATACTTTATTTATTTATAAATAAAAATTAAATATAGAAAAATAGCACAACTATATATGTGTAAAAAAAAGTATTATTATTTTATTATTGTACATTTTATATTTGGATACTAATCTATTTATGCTATAACTCCATTCCCTTATAGAATAGGCAAAAGCAACATATACTTCTTGCTGTATTCTATTTCATAATTCATCACATTCAATTCCGGAGAGTTTGATATTTCCTTTTGATATTATCTGTATCTGACAGATTTATTTCTACAATAAATGGGTCAATGGATTTGAATGGGATTTGGCAGATAGATTGAATAATCCTATTATAAGCAGATATACCTATATCATGTAGAATATTCCTCATCCTGGTAACACGTGTCTGTTTCAATTACGAGATAACTCCATCCTATAGTTATGATTCTTAGAAAAATGTATTGACAGCCAGCCAATTCTCACATATGACCTCATAAAATATACTTTTATGATTAGATTAGGGTATGACAGAAAAATAATTCAATTACTATATATCTATAACAATTTGTAGATATTAACATCAATATACCAATTTTCATAGTATTGTTCATGTTCATAGGTGATAATTACTACTTTGAGGGGAAGGGGATTGTTAGTAATGGGTTCTAATTGACCGATTGTTAGCAATACACCCTATCAGGTCGACTTTTACGCGGTTCCCCCTGGAAAGCATCGTGGTTAATTCTAGTGGAATTTGTCACGATGGGCTAACTGACCTGCCTTTTTCATTCTCACTTATCATCCCTCACTGGTGCCCCGCCAGTGTATCCCGATAGCGCAGGTGGGGTTATCATTACATTATCATCCATTAAAAAAAAATACTACTTTGATTCGTTACTATGTATAAGCAATTTTTGGATTATTATAGGTAAGTGAGTAAGTACATGAAATATCTTATGTGCTAAGTTAGGATATAATCTCTTCTAAGTAGTTTTTGACAGTGAAAGAGTAATAAATATCCATCCACCCATCGTTTTATAGCATTTTATGTGTGATTCTTTAAATTGACATAAACTTGTTTATTTATGAACCGATTGAAATAACGTAAATACTAAATGTTAAGTGAAGCAAACCGTAATGCATTAGTGAAAACCGCATTCAAATCATTTAAGCCGTTTCTGAGATTAGCATGCTTGCATTTTTTTGGGTTCTATTGTGTTCTTAAAGCCTTATATTTTATTTAAGTATTTATATATATTACTTATTTTTTATTTAAATTCTTAATATCTTAAGAGGTTCTTACTTATAAGCCTTATAGTTTTTCTTATATATCTTTCATGTACAGACAGCGACCTGTTACGATTTTATTATATGTATATTGATTGATTGATGATATATTTGCACGTCTAATGATAGCAAAATATAGCGTTCCCCTTATACAAACCACAACCTATTTTTAATTATACATATGTTTATGCAAAAAAATTATTGAGTGATTTCTACCAAGTATGTCTGTTTGACATTTCAAATTGTACGAAAAATAGAACAACTGAAGAGAAAATGTCAGCTTTGATAATATTAGCGAGCATTGTTTAAGTAGAATCTACAAATGGTAGGCTTTTGTATGTGCCAGCGTTGTAATTGACGTAGCCATTCTAGCTGACATCAAATGGGACTACCTATTTGGACGAGTGGACATAGTTTCACGCAGAAATATTTAGCTAGAACGAGAATGCAAAATACGAGTTGTATTTCACCAACGCGTCTCATTTAGTTATCACAATTTATTTACTTAAAGAATTTTATAATTTATTATTTTGCAAATGTAATGTACAGCATTTTGTAAAACGTCGAAGGCAAATTGTAAAATGTCATTTACGATATTAAAGCGTATGCAGAAACCGAATTAATTGCTAGTTTGCACATAGTCTACACTTCTACACTTCTGTGTGGTTCCGGCATAGAATAGGCCATCACTTCCATTCCCGTTGGTGTTGTAAGAAGCGACTAAGGTAACTTAATGGTAGAGGAATGGACAGCAGCGTCCCTCTTAAAACATCTCTAAAAGCCTAACAGCGCTTGTCGATCCGCCGGCCAAGTGTGGCGACTAGCAAATTTCCACTTATGGGGAAAGCTTATGTTCAACAGTGGACAGTTAACGGCTGAAATGATGATGTACATAGTCATAGTATACGGTATAACGTATTTATGTAGTGTTGCAAGTTAAAGTAATGATAATATCATTAAAAACTGTAAATAAAAAAAAAATAGCCCTGATACAAACAAATCTATAAAAAGAGCTGTTAACCTTGAAACGCCTTATATCGCCTTAAATCTTTATTAATTGTAGCTAGAATGATCTTGATCACGTTAGCTTACAAACAAAAAGAAATTACATCATAATCGGTCCATTCATTTAAGAGCTACGATGCCATATCACATAGACAGTCATAGACACACATATGTCAAAGTTATAACTCTGCGCTTTTTGTGTCAGGAAATAAAAGATTTATGAATGATTATTAGAATGATTACAAAAGAACAAAAATATTACACATTTTACACAAATTTTATTAAAATCCGTTTAATCATATAAATAAGTAATAAAAACCCAAACATCTTTACAAACTGTCACATAACATTATTTATCAAATTGAGATACTAGAATTGTTTATGTTTAGAGCTTGTCTCGCTAACTTGATTTATATCTACAAAAGATATACTTTCATTTCTATCAATCGCGATATTCCGTCATGTGTTGGAGTCGATACGGTGACATGTTAGAAGGAAATTGTTTTTGTTGCCTTCGGATATTTCGAGACAGCTCTTGACAAATGTTTTTACTGTGGCCAAATTGATGTGTCAAGTGAGCGGTTAATTTGTGACGCGGGTACATTATTGAGTATAGATACTGCTCTTTTGTTTTTGTATTATTTTTATTTTATATCATAATATCGTCGTTGTTTCTAATTATTTTTAAGATTTTGCATTTAGTATTTGTTGCTGGAAACTTAGCTAGTCGGCCTTTTTTATATTTGAATTGTAGAATAATCTCCCGTTTTCAGTTTTCCTTTTTTTAAATACATATTTACAAACATACACACATTTATAAGACCAGCTACGTATGGACCACTCTCGTGTTGCAGGTGTGTCGATGGTAGTCGCTTTCTATTAGGCGGACCGTCTGTTCGTTTGCCTTCCTGATAATAAAAAAGTGAGGGGAAAGGGATTGTTAGTAATGGAGACTGAGAATCCCATTGTTAGCAATATACCCAACCAGGTCGACCTCCTCGCGATTCTCTCTGGAAACTATCATATAGTATTTACGTATTTTTAGTGGATGATAATGTAATGATAACCCCGCCTGTGCTATCGGTATACATTGGCGGGGCACCAGTGAGAGCTGATAGATGAGGATGAAAGCAGGTCAGTTGGAGACTTTTTACAAAAGTCGTTTGCTTGGGTACCTCTGTCCCATTCGTGTTTCAACCGTAAAGCAGTTGTGTTTGCATGGCTGTGTTTCGGTTTGAAGGGTGGGATATGGCGTGAATTTACAGGGTACAAAGGAATAAAACCTGAGTCCTCAGGAATGGCAACGCATGGGGGGTATCATGGGCAAAACAGTATACTCTGTTATGTCCATGGTACTGCTCATGTCTATAGGCGACGGTTACCACTTTCCATCAAGTGGACCGTCAGCTTGTTTTGGCATTCTAAGTTGTATAAAAAAAGGTCAATTGGTCCATAGTGACGAATTATAATGAATTAATCAAGATGGTTTCTATGAGGAACCGCGTAGAGGTCGACCTGTTAGGGTATATTGTTAGCAATGGGAGTGATTATCCGTATTACTAACAATCCTTTCCCCCAGTATCTAAGTATTATCAGTATAGACTTTTGTTTTTTAATATAATACAAGGTTTTTTCTATGTAAAAACTTCGTTTTTAAGGGTTATTTATATGCCAAAGCTAGTGATTATTCACAGACGAAGGCTAGTTAGCACTATATATATATATATATATATATATATATATATATATATATATATATATATATATATATATATATATATATATATATATATATATATATACGTAGACACTATGAAAGAATCCTACTTCAATTTACAACCAAAAGTAATAGAACGACCGTAATCAACATAAAAATGTGGGTGCTATATCTTATTGAATGTAAAATGAAATATCACATAGACACGAGTTTATGGGCACCGTCCCTTTGCCTTTTCCGAGACGACGAATATATTATAGTTATTTACATACCATGACTGGTTTATCCAATAATTTATGATGTTAAATACCTACAAATTTTAATAGACTGTTTATCTATATAGAAGAACATAGACATAGATGGAAATAGATAAGTCAAGTACTCTGTAGCTGTATGAGAAATTGTGTTATTACTAAATTACTTATCGTGATATATGAAAGCTATTTTTGATAGTAAACCCTTTTCATTAATAAAGCTGTCTTCAATATTTTATTAAGATAAAATATAAGAATAAAAATACGTTTTTTATGTTCGCTAAGTCTATTAGTAAGGGAAACTAGCAGCCTCATTAATATACTTTGCTAGATGGACCTTCATGCTCCTCATCCATCCTCCAACGTGATTAATTCTGATGAATCAATTACAATAGGCCAACTGACCTAACTTCATCTTCATCTATCATTAATTTATCGGTCCCTTGCTTGTGTATACCGACAGTGCAGGCGGGTTTACTACTTCATTATTCTTTTTTTAAAATTACGTCAGACATTTTAGTTGTTTTATCTTCGCTAAAACTCTGAAACGTTTTTGTACTAAAATGATTGATCGAACATGTGAC